AGTACCTTCGTTAATTAATCGTTTCTACATGAAATACATTTCAAAAATAAAAATAAAAATGTATTGATTGGTGAAAGAAAAATATTCTTTTGGAATACCTAAAATAATGGATATCTTGTAGAAATAAAATTTTTGTCATTTAAATACTGAAATAAGCAATCCATTTCCAAATATGGCAATTTTATTCTTTAAATCACAATATAAAATACGATAAAATGAAAAATAAAATTATCCATATACGGCATAAACGATTTACATATTTTAATTGCAGAAGGGAATAAAAATACGAGTATTGATTTAAACATAATGGGCAACGTTGAACAACTATAAAGCAAAAAATGAAATGTCGAGGGAATAAGTGAATTTCTTTTAACGAAAATGAAAAGTATAAAAAAATTTTTATAAGGGTATCTTCTGGAACTTATTTCATTTATTTCATGCACACATACTTTCGTTTAGACATGCATACCATTGCTTTAAATAAACGCGGAAGAATCCGACGTAGCTTCTTGGCATACGATTGTAAGTAAAACCATTTGCTTCGAGAGTAGGGAACTCCCTTTGAAAGTAAATTTATTCTGGTAACAGTACCTTCGGTCGAAAATTCCTGAAGAATATTGAAGATTCAACGATAAGATACTTTCCACACAAAGGCAAACAGCTACAAACACTGCGAACGCGTATACTCCTTACGGGCAGATTGTTCGAGGATTCAGCAGCAGATTTCGCTACAGATCTGCGAAATCATGCCATAGCGTTTATACTTAAGCTTGCGCCACGGTTCACCTTCGGCGGTTGTATTACATACGTGGCAAACTTTTTAGATTGTATGTTATATAATTTACAAGACACTCGGTCCATAATTACTTTCGAGAAAAAGATCCCTAAATGCATTTTCGTCCTAGAAAAAGAACTCGGAGAATTATGAAAATCCTGAACGTTAAAGGATAATTCGGAAATTCACTACAATTGAGGTTTACAATTTCCTATTATTGAAACTAAGATGGCTGATTACAAAGGAGCCTGTTGAAATTAAAAATAAAAAATTAAATTAAATTTCTTTCTTTCATTAAATTCAAATAATGCCATATACCTATACTGTATTTGCTTGTACATACTTTTTGTAAGAGTTTGTTTTAAATTAATGTACAAAAAAAAGATTAGAATGAAATGAAGAAAAAATTACTTTCCTTAAAAACTCATGCTTCGCATCTATCACTTCTCTTATGAGTTTCGCCTGCATTTCACTTTTAAAATAACTGTATAAACACAGTATTTGCTAATACTTATATATGTATTGTTAATGTATACAATTCTTGTTTTATATTTGTTTTTAAGAAAACATAATGTATGTAGTATTTGCGAAATGCTACGTTTCTATAAATACCGGAATCTTTTATTGAAAAATCAAATAAATTACCAGTAGCTCGTTTTCTTTTATCAATGGGCTTCGCAAACCACTTCAAAGCAGTAGTCGATATTCTTCCAGACATGGAAATAGGGCTGTCAATCGCCGAAAGTTCAAACATCTGTAGACTCCAGGAGAAGTGAATATTTCCAGAACATAATGTGAAGTGTTTGCATAGCAGATGGCACTAAGCGAACACGCTTCCTTCGAAGTCACTGTTGCTAATTCTCAATTAATTGGCGATCAGTCAGATGCAACTGATTGGTTGATATCGCAAAGCTTGAACGAGATTAACGTTCAAGATGGAGATAAATTAAAGATGCGAAGTAGTAGTATGTTTAGTTTAATTATTTGCATTCTTTAGTATGCACAAAGAGAATCAGTAGCAAGTTAAGATGCAGAATAATGTTATGTTTAATTAGTTTAGTTGCAGTTTTGAGTAACAGGAAGAGTATGACGCTCTAATGAAGACTTGTAGAACTGCCTCAAGAAGCTTCGCCTAATCTTATATACTAACTTTCTGTTCCCGGGTTCTCCTTCTTACCTGGTTTTTATGGGATGGGAATCTATTATTGCAAATCTTGCATTTGTGTACTTTCGTAGGTGCGTATCCTCAGGTATTGCTGATTGTTGCTCAGATGTTTACTTTACACCTGACCCATCGGGCACTTAAATTGTTTATTAGCCTCTTAATGAGGTCCGCATCGTAAAATTTACAACTTGGCAGGTAGGAAGTTCGGACTTTCTCAAAAGACGACAAATGTGCTGTCCGAGTCATAGCCGGACGGTCACTTCAAATCCCGAACAGTTACAACGCGTCTCGTAGGTCGACACTTTCGTATACAAACGCGTCGAACACCAGTCAAACTTAACAGCTTCCGTTTGTATAGATATGAAGGATGTAGCATTTATTAAAGCATACAAATAACAGCCAAACGTTAAAAATGTCTATCGATATCATCTTTCGATCGCTTGCAAATTTTCAACCATTTTCCTTAACATCATTTACTTATTACACCAACTGATTTTCTTTTCGATTTCATGTAAAACGATTAATACACGAAGTACAAGTAATTTCTATCCGTATAAATATGTGTGATATATTCAATAATGTATTACGAGTTTAACTGAAGAAGAAAACTGTACTTGGTATTGAATCAATACTAGAAAGCAAACAGGGAAATCGATAAAGTACTATATACGGTACTTACATTATATTTATCGTTCAAATTGAAAATTTACGCGCAATCTTGACCGTTTCGAAAGAATCAAAATAAGAGGCACGTATGATAATCGACTGAAAAATTTAGATTAAATTTAATATTCGTATAGAAGAAAATAATGCTTTATATAAGCACCTCTAATATGTTTCGAAATGTACCTTATCAAACATTTTCGATAATTGAAAAACTTGATGGAAGTCAGTAAACAGACTATTATTAATTAATGAATTTTATACTATTGACGTTATCTAATATAAGACCAAGTTGACGTATAACAATGTAATACACTCATAAGATAAATTTACTAGGGTTATAATTTATTGGCTGTACCAATAACAAATGTAAGTTACTGATACATTAATTAGCAATTTATTAGAATAATAACAATTTTCGTGATAACCAATTTACATAAAACGATTAACGAATGGCATTCACCGATACAATGTGATTCGAGTAACATAATTGCCATCCAAGCTTACATTCCATTTGTTGTTTTTATTTAAATCGCATGTAATCAAGTAAAATATAGAAAATAAAGATTAGTACACGGCTGATCGCATCCGGCTTTACAACAAAATTTCAATACAAAATCTAATTAGCATTTTATTCTGAAAAGACAGAAGTATATCATTTCAATATAATTCTTCTATACCTTCTCTATCTCTATTTATCGATATAATATCATATATAATAATGGTATCGATATATAAATATCATAGATACTTCGTGTTCTATTAATTTATTCATTTGTTATACACGAAGAATAACCTAGTTTATTTCTTAGTTCCATTGCTAAAAAATTTAGCTAATTATGGTTTGCTTTGCTTAAAGTAAATTGCCTTCAGTTCAATGCAACTGGTACGAATTACTGGCAGATAAAAGTACATTTAAAAAAGCAAAATATAACGGAAGAGAGAAACTGCAACACAATAAAAAAAAACAATTTCTCCTCTGCCATTCCGTCCTCAGAAACTTTGATAGTCTAGACATTAATTCAATGGATTCTATCTAATTTATCTATCCGAGTTCTATTTATCTAATCGATTCTGATTACGTTTGCTGAAAAATCGCAAACAACGATGCTTCTATTACGATATTCCTCGCTAAAATCTAGAAATGCATCACTACTACGAATCCAGGAAAAAATTCAAGCGCTCGTAACAATAACGTTTCATATACGATATTCGTTAAAAAAGAGGGGAAACAAGAAATGGGAAGTAAACGAGCGGAAGACAAGTTGAGGGGAAAAAAGGAGGAAGCGTGAATAATTCGAAAGGACGAGAGCAGTGGTGCATGGACGCATCGAGCAACCCTTTCAGGTTGGCGGCGAGCGAGCGACTGCTGGCTCGCGTCTTAACTCGTGCGATTCCGCGGACGCTCGGGAACGCCGGCGCCTCTGGGCGTCGCGACGGCGGGCGTCCAGGGCTGGCAGGCTGGCAGGCAGGCAAAGGCAGGCGTCCCTTCGCGCTCTCCCCGCCAGACGAGTTCCGACTCTACGCTCGGCCGGACGTGACGTAACGCGAGCAGCGTGGAGAGCGTAGAGAACGTCGTCGCCGTCGTTCTAGTCGTCGTCGACGTAGCCGTCGTCGTTACCGTTCCTGTCAACCCTCTCTCTCTCTCCCTCTTACACACGCACATACATACACACACGTAGTCTCTCTCCCCCTGCGACACAAACACCTCTGTTCTCTCGTGCACGCCGAGATACCGAGCCGTTCGCAACTCGTTGACGTTTCCTCGTCGCAGATCAGTCGAGTGTCAACGACAACAGTCGGCACGACGCGCGTCGGCCTTCCCATCACGGTGTAGACGCGCCACGCACGCAGCACCGCGTGCGTTTTCACGCACGCCACTGCGTAACAACGGTGCGTCCACGCTCCAGCTGTAAAATAGACACGAACTGACGGAGTAATTTATCGCGAGCGGGGTCAAGTGCAAGTGAGACGAATATTCTATACGAACGAGTGAAAAGGAAACTTTGTGGTGTGAAAAAAGATCATCGGGAAGCGGAAGCAGTTTCGGTGGTGGTTCGATTCGGAGGATCAGAAGCGGACCGAGATCACGTGTGATTAGTTGGAAAACGACACGCTCGTTACGTTACGGTGGATCGAGAGATCTGTACTGGAAATTGCGATACAAATCGCGGGAACGTCGTACAGAGAGAGGAGGAAATTTTCATGATTAGTTGGAGATTAAACTCGTGACGGTATCCCCGATAGAGAGAAAAAAAGTTAAACGCCGAGAAAGTTTCGAGGGAAGCAAACTCAAGAAAATCGAACAAGATCTTGAACGAAGCAGATGTCAAGAGATATCGGTAGGTCGAAGTGGGGTCGTGCGGCGATGTAAAGTAATGTCGCGAGGGAAAAGAGTTACCGCGATCTTGGCGACGTCGCGATAAATAGATCGCAGACGGTAGTATGCAGTGACTTCTTGATCTCGTCTAAACGACGTACGACAGCTTCCGACAGTCAGTTTAAAATATTACTGATCGAGTAATGCCACGTTCACGGCACATTAACGTCAGCGATTGATCCACGGTAGCTGCGATCGCTGTCACTTGTACGATCTACGCGCACATCCTGTACGCTTTCAATCATACGACTTGTCTTACCTGTCTTACCTATCCAACGGTATTGTTTTCCCGATCGAACGATATAACATCGTGGAAAATTCGCTGGGTGCCGCGGACTAGTAATCCTTCCTGGATCACGTGACGAATCGCTGAGAAGACAATAGTTCGCCACGGCGAAACCGGAACCTAGCGAAGATGCTGACCATGTCGACCTTGATGATGCCCACCACGATGACCACCATGACGAATCCTGGACCTATACCGGCACACAGCATGCCGCAGAAGATAGAACCGCCTAAGCTGACCGCAGCAGCTACGCTCACCCACACAACTACAACCGGCAACAAATCAGGTACCGCTTTATACTACAGATTTATGGCTTTGCACTATCACTCGAGCGCGACTCTAAGATAAATTTAACCGGTACATTGTGCCGCCGAGTATGCTCCGTTGCTCCTGTCAATCTGTGAACGATATACGTCGCTAAAGTTACACTCTCGCCGTTAGGACGGTCGCGCGAGGTCGGTATCCTTGTTCGGTTTGCGCTCTTTTAAACCGCTTAATGCCCATCCATCAAATTATTGTATTCGAGAGAAGGGAGCTGCGAGCCAGTTAATGTTTCGACACAGTTATCAAGCCGATAACGTCGATTCGTTTTTCGTCTAAACAGCATTCCATTCTCTCTCTATCGCCTATTTGGAACGAAAAAATCGACGAAAGGAAAAAGTATGTAGGCACCGTCGCGCGTTATGTAGCTATGAATGTCGACAAATTTTTCTCATCCTACGATACTTGTTCGATGTTTAATGTATTTACATCCTCATCGACCTGTAAACAAAATAGCCGAATTAATTTTGCGGTTTACACAGCTCCTCCGGCGTCGTGTTCGCGATACGGCGCCAATTTCTGTGGACACATTGCCACGAGGCAAAAACCTACTAAATAAGCTCAGCGTTCTCTAATCATCTTTATTTATCTCGATTTGCTGTCTCCTCTCTCCTGCTAGTTCCGGCGTAGTTCGAGGTATTGCATGAAACCAACAGCTTCAGAAATTTTTATCCCTTTTTATTTCATACATACCATTTTGATACTTTTGCCGCGAAACTACCGCAATTCTGTGTTCCAATTCCGGCGTCCATAAAAGAAGTGCTAACTTCTTGTAGGGTATGCGAGGGGCTAGGGGGGCGGAAAGTTGGGGGGAGAGAGAGAGAGAGAGAGTAGCAAGGCCGGCTGATCTGGATGTGACCCGCATAGAAATTGGAATATACGTCTCGGCTTTCTAAGATGCTCGTGAAAGTAATAACGTTGATCGCCAGGAATTAATTGCTCCCATTACGGATGTCGACTTTTCTCGATTAGCGTTCGTGACCGGCCGTTCTCGCGCGACTTCGTTCCCAACCAAGAGATCTACCAACGGCCGAGAGCAATTATCTGCCGGTAATTACCGGCTAATAAACATTTACCGTGAGCCCCGACGAAACGTTATAGCTCAATTAAAAATTTATAACTCGGCCGCC